GTAAACAATGTATTTTACACACGTTGTGTCACAGGGAACAACAGGCATTATATCTCTGTACATGCATTAGATTTTTTGCTTTGTCAATGTTTATATATCTGATGAACAACTCTGGTTGTCAGTTTAATTATGCAAATTTATAACAATAGCTTAAATGTACGGACAACGGGAAGGGTGGAAACGCTCAGGGCAGTGGCGTAAATTCGATGCCACAGAGACTAACCAAAGAATGCCATCAGAAATACCATCTCCAGCTGGAGGTCAATGTGTGGGCAAATACACCTACACAAAACAGTGAACATAGAAGCTCAAGAACTTTAAATGCAATTGGCAGACGTGCATGAACAGCGGTTTCTTGTACATGTTGAAGGCGGATTTGTCTGGCAGAGTGAACGACAAAATATATTCTATATATATATATTTATAGACAAGAAGAGATAAACACAGCACTAAGAAACATTGAAAACATGAAGAAAACAAACGAATACCTAACAAGAAAACAACATTACATGAAATCACTACCGTATTAAGAAAACTAAAAAATAGAAAATCATCTGGCATAGATGGAATACCACCAGAGATGTTGAAATATGGTAGCCCACTTCTGAGTCAAGCTCTACAATTATTATACAACCATGTACTTACTACTGAACATTACCCACAGCTTTGGAACATCAATAAAATAACACCTATCCATAAGAAAGGCAATGCATTGGATCCATCAAATTACCGTGGCATTTCAACTAGCAGCAATATAGGCAAAATATTCGCAATTATCCTAAATACAAGACTTATCAACTTTCTAGAGAAACAGAACATCATACACAAAAACCAAGCAGGATTCAGGAAAGGACACAGAACTATAGACAACATATTAACAATACACACACTGATTAAAATGTATCAATCAAGGAACAAAAATCTGTATGCGTGTTTCATAGATCTCAAGAAATGTTTTGATACAGTATGGCAAGATGGACTCCTGTACAAACTACAAAAGCACAACATAAGTGGCCCAATGTACACATCATTAATGACATGTACAGCAGCATGCAATTCCAAATCAAACTGGATGGAAAAATCTCGCCACTATTCCAATTAGAA